TAGATAGATAGATAGATAGATAGATAGATAGATAGATAGATAGATAGATAGATAGATAGATAGATAGATAGATAGATAGATAGATATAATTGATTAAATGTTTGTGAAGATCTAAATTTAAGTCATGTCATGCACGTGTTCTCATTAAGTTAAAACCACAAAACAAGATGGGGCCCATTAATGACATGTTTTAAAATTCGAGTTCTGATGCTCTTCAAAGCTTTACAGCGTTGCACAGATGTTGCCTAACCACAGTTAAAAGTCCAGTGGTTCCGTTCCCATCCCCCTCATCCGCAAAATCAAAACACAAGTACACGCGCGCAGTCCTCCGTCACGTGTAGGAGGAAAAACTCCAGCAAAACACAGAGTTAAAAAAAAAAAAAAAGATATGACTGACAACTCATATTGTCCAATCAGATGCGTTGCTCCGGGTAGCAACTGCATAAATAGGAAGATATCGTCCAATAAGAAAGCAGGAGGGGGCGTGAACTAACTCTCGGTTTCTACACTGTATTTACTTCCGTCAATATTTCCAGCACAAAAAGGAAAAGAGCTGAGAGAAAGAAACAGTCCAGCCACAAGGAAACTCCGTGGATATTAAGGTTTGTTTGCTATTTTTAGAAATCCACAGCTGAAGGATGCAGCTGTTAAGGTTATTCACTCAATCTGTCATCTGTATAAGCAAGTTAAACCGAGTGACATCTTCAGTTTTTAGACGTTATACCTTCCAGCAGTGCAGGCTGCCTCTGGTGCAACGCCATGACTCCGAAAATAACTACTGTTTAACACATTTTTTCTGTTAACCCATAATCATTGCTTTATTACTCAAAGATTATACAATCCAAAGGGCCTAGCAGCCTGAAAAGTAAATATAGATGTAAACAAATATCTACTTATGTAGTATATTCTCTGTATACTTACACTTTAAGCATCCTTAATATATTGTATTGGGAGCTTAGATAAAAATTTTGTTTTTTCTGAAAATACACATGTAAATTAAAAGTAAACAAATAACAAGTCGTTTAGTTCAGTTTAACTACTGAGTAAATTAATATTTATTAATAACATAAAGAAATAACAGTTTGAAAAGCTTAGATTTTCTTATGCAAATCCTAATTTTTCTAAAACTTAATAAAGAAATGTGTCACTTTTTCACTTAGACACCTCAAATTATTTAATACATTCAGAAAGAGTAAGGCAATATTGTGGAAATGTTTATAAGATAAGTGACTTTTATTATTTTTTTTTTTATTAGTGTTTCCTCCTTCAACTGTATTAAGAAGACTTCTTTTTTCTGTAACTTCATCGTTTAAAAAAAACAATCATGTTTATAATATGAACACAATGCTAAGAGATAATGGAGATATTCAAATGCAAAAATTGCATTTGCAAAAATGTAGGTTATTGGATATAATGCATTAAAATTAGAACGCTTTTAACAGGGGTCTTCAACGTTTTCCAGGCAAAAGACCCCCAAACTGATGGCGAGATGGAGCAGGGACCCCCTAATTATATATATTGTATGAAATTGTGTTATATCAAACTGGTCCTATAGTCACTCTGTTACTGATGCAGTCATGTAACAAAAGTAATTTCTCCCTAGGATTATTAAAGTATTTTTGATTCTGATTCCTGGTTGATGGGATTGGTGTTGGGAATGAAACTGTGTCCAGCTTGAAAGAGCTCCTGTGTGTCGCTGAATGTGTGCATTGATGACTGAAATACATCTTCTGCCTCAATTTATCTGTTTATTACAGTGTGTTGAATTCATGTTAATGTCTATTTAAAGACATTTCAATTAGTGGAAAAAATTACTGCGGGAATATAAAAAAAAGTCTACTCAACCAAAACTTTTGTGACCCCAAGGCAGTACTTCTGTGGACCCACTAGTGGTCGCAGACCCCATGTTGAAGACCTCCGCTTTTAAGACGCTGCCTACAGATTGGTCTGGCAATGTAAAACAATAATACACAAAAGGTTTGCAGCTAGTGGTATTACACAATGAACTAGTTTATCTGTTTAGAACAAGTTCCCAAACATTTCAGCCTGGCAGGCTCTTAAAAAATTCATATTCTCTTAATTACTTTCTTGATATTTCTTTATACATAAAGTGAAGTAATGACATACATTTCTGAATATATATATATTCCAAAGACATTTAGTTATTCAATTTGCTGTTTAACATGTATTTATTTATTTATTTAATATAATTATTATTTAATGGTACTTTTTTTGTTTATTTCACGGGACATTCACCTCTATGTGCTTCATTATATATTTTGGCCCTCCATATACCTCATATACCTCTATCACAATAATTGTGAAAACCATTCTCCGCCCCCTGCTAGTTTGGGAATCCCTAGTTTAGATTTTAAATCTACAAACAAAATGTAAGAGCCTGACATCCTTCTGAATTACTGAAGCCCAAGGATTGCTTTAGTGGAAAAATACGGCTGATTTTCCTGTACTTAAGACTTCATACAAGTGCTGCTGTGGTTTTCGTCAGGGAATAGGTCTAACAAAGCAGCAAATAGCATCAAGACAATCTTTCAGACATTTATAACTTTTCTGATGTCCAGTCTGCAGCCTAGAGATTAATTCCTTTTACTTATTAATCCTTTAGGTTTTCACCGTGGCTTCAGCTCTTCTCTGCTCAAAGTTCTTATCTCCCCAGTTAAAATGCCTTTCTTAGGCAAAGACTGGAGGTCGCCTGGGTGGAGTTGGACAAAGACAGACCACGGCTGGAAGAGGATAGTTTTCTTTGGACATGAGCTCGAGGACAACAACAAAGACATAGACCTAAAAGAGTAAGATCAGAAATTGTTTCTTTGTTACCAGCCCTATTTTTGTCTTAACTATCACTGTTGCTAATTTTCAAACATCTGTTTAGCCAATTATGCTCCACATTTGATATATCTGCCTGCACTAATAACTAACAAAGATATAGAAGTATTATGTGCACTGTTGACAATTTTTTTATCAAAACAAATAATATTAAGGCCCTAACCAACTTGAGCAATATTTTTTTTTTCCATTTTTTTTGATAAATTAAGAACTTTATATTTGACATTGAGATTT